TGTATATAAAAGAAAAAATATTAATTTTTTCGATAGCTTAATGATTAATTTTTACATATGTGTATTGAGATTGTTAATTAAAAGAAAGATACTTCATTACCCCCAAAAATATTGTAGTACAATTACTAGAAATACGAATATGAATTTGAGAGGATTCTTCTATTAACTGGAAAATATTTTAATATTTTATGTTTAATAGAGAATTCTCTTGATAAACTCCCATTTTACTAGCAGATAACATCTGTACAAACACAATATATTAAATTAAAAGAATACATAGAGGCGAAATACATTTTAAAAAAATTAATTTTGTCTTTTATTCTTCATATGTATGTATACATATAAAAAATTCAAATAATAATTCGATTTATCAAAATTTTACTGTAATTTATAAAACTTCTTAAAATTTTGTGATCCTTGATTATTTAATTTTTATTTTTAATTTTTCTTTCTCTTTGTATAATATTAGAGGCCTAACATTAATATTATAAAAAACAGATACTTTTAAATAATATATACAATTTATATATATATATATAATATATACTTTTATATATATATATATATATATAAAAGAATAATTTTTAATATAAAACAATCTTGTCAATCGATACCATAGAAAATCTTCAAGTGGTATTCATTGTATATAAAAATATATAATATATATATATATACATTAAAATAATAAATTAATAAAAAAAAAATTACAAATAATAATTTTATTAAAAATTGTTATTATTAAAGAATTTTATTTTCTTGATATTAAGACTTTTTGTACATATTATTATAAAATTGTGAAAAATATTACCTTAAATTTTAATATTTATTATTCTTTAACCCGTAAAACCTGTCATGGTCAATAAAATTAAGTTATTTATCATTTAATTTATTGCTTACATTAAAAAGAAAATAATAATATTTCTCAATTAACCCATTCGTAACTCAAGAAAAATTACTTTTACTCCTATACATTTCGCATATTTTCAATTATAAAAAGTTTCCTTTTACAGTTTTGTATTATGTAAAAAACAGGGTGTTTTCACTCGGATGCAAATCCAGCATCAAATTGCTCATTAAAGAATCGTTACTTATTGATTTCCATTTAAAAAACATGCTTATATTCTAATTTTATATTTTATAATAGCTATATTGTAGCTAATATAACAAATAATCAGATATTTATCCACGCTCTCAAAATTAAATTTCGCGCACAAACAAAAATAATCCCATATAATATGTATGTAAAACAATTAATGAACGATTTAACTATAAAAATATACAATAATTTTGTTATATATATATATATATTTTTATATATGTATATAACAAAAATTTATGTATAAAAAAAATTTAATTTATTAATGCATGACAGCATTTAAGGGTTAAAATCTTTATAAAAATTTTTATTTCTTATTAAAAAATAAAAATGAAAATTAAAAAAAAAAATTTCTTTCTTTTTCTTTTAAGAAGGATGAGTAATTTTTGGTGCTTATAAAGTGGTGCATTTTTTTATTATACTAAAATAAAATATAAAATTACATACATAGCTATATACATATGTATTATTAAATTCATATTATTATATGTATTCATATACAAGAACTATATTATACACTCTTATTTTAATAATTTATATTATATATACATATATACAGTATAAAATATATATATAATATAAATTATAAATAATAAGTATTTATACAATAAAATTTAATTACTTAATAGGAATTGTATATTGTAGAAATGAAATAAAATAATCAAAATCATAAAAATAAAAATATTGTAGTCATTATATTTCTATATTAAAAATTATAAATTAATTTGTATAAAAAATAATAATAACAATAAAAATTAAAAATTAAAAAAATTTTATATAAAATTTATTCGTCCATAATCCGTCTATACATTTCAGAAATCAAAATATAATATAAACAATAAATATGTATATGAGTTTTATTCTGTTTAAAATAAGTAAAAATAATTTTAATTCAATTTATATTTTAAAAATTCTTCAAAAAGTTGTGATATTTAAAAGAAAGAGAAAAAATTCATGATTAATGCAAAATCTAGCAATTAAAATATTTTTATTGCTATTAAAACTCTGAAAAATAATTTAAAATTTAAAAAAGTAAAATAATTTTCATAAATTTTAAATAATTTTCATTGTATTTAATTAGAATAAATTAAATTGTTTCTTTTCAAATAAAACAATTTCATAAAATAATTTAATGTAATATGGAAAATGTGCCAAAATAAAGAGTTAAAAATTATTAACAGATATAAAAATTTATTAATTAATCAAATTCATTTTATTAATAACTTTATTATCAATATTTTTCATTTGTAATTCTGTTTAACTGAATATTTTCAATATTATGTCAACCATTTCAATAAATTTTCTAAATTTTTTATAGATTATCAATTTTATATTTGGTCATTAAATTTTAAATAAAGATAATAGCAATAAAAATAATTATTAATCAAGTTTTGCATTTATTTAATTGAAAAATGAAAAAATTTATATTTTAAGTAAATGGAATTCTTAAAATTATAGAATTTTAAAGAAATATATAAAATAATTTTACATTATTTGCTTATTTATATTATAAAATAATTAATATGATATTTTACATATTAATATACAATGTGTACTTAATTTTATATTAAATAAAATTATAAAATAATTTATAATTTTTATGAAATAATATCTATCAAAAATTTTAAAATTATTTTTAAAATCCTCCACATTTAATACAAAATTTAATAAAATAAAATTCAATCATTCACATTATTTGAAAATAAAAATCATTACATAATAGTTTTATATAAACTATAATTAATATCTTAATAAAATAAAGAGAAAAAAAATTAGCAAATTATAAAATTGAAATGTTTCAAAAGATGATGGTAAGTACATTATCAAAAATCAAATATTTTTCAATTTAAACTAATAAAATATTTTTTTTAAATATAGAAAATTATTAAATAAAAGAAAAAACTAGTATTATTTAAAATGAAAAAAAAAAAATAAAATAAAACTAAATTAAATGTTCCCACAAAAAATTTTTCGAGAAATTTGAATATTAGAAATTAAAAAAAATTAAGAATTAAGAAAAAATATAAAATACTTAAACTTTTCACTATTAATAAAAATTATTCATTAAAAAAGAACAATCCAATTCAAAATCAATTTAAAAATGAAACATGTATTTAAAAACAGAATAAAAAAAAATTAAAATAAATAATAATAATTGCTTTTAAATCTAAGAAAAATTTAAAAAAGAAAAAATGAGATTTTACGTACCTTCAAAAAAAAATTTATATTTATAAAATTTAATTAAATTCTATAAAAAACAATTTTAAATATTTGTATATGCATTAATAAACTTTATGTACATGTAATATGTTTTACACAATGAGTATTTAGATGCTATCGACAATGCTATAATTAATTTAGCTTTTTGAATAATGCACTTTATTATCCAGAAATATGATTCCATAACAATTTATCATATTATCCCAGTTTTATTTATAATTTCATACTAATGATATTGTCCTGAGGTGTTGTTTAACCGGTTCGGCATGAAATTTCAGCTAAATATATTATGTATAACAAATAACATTTTTCAAATACTTAATTTGAAATTGTTTTGTTAGAAATTCAGGGCAATATATGTAGTTGAACATCAGGCGACAATTAAAAATTTTATATTTATAATTAAACAATAAATTTTAGAATATTTTCTATACACAATACAGAATACATTTTTGTTTTACTTTTATGCAATTTTCATAATTTTTTTAATTTTCATAAACTTACTACATTTATTTCTTAATTATTATTTATTTTTTTCTTAAATAAATTTAATTATATGTGAGCGCCGTTTCTTATCGATTTAATTGCACAATCCTTTGTTATATTGAAGTACGTGTACATAATTATAAAGTAAAAGTATCATCGTTAAAAATTATATTAAGAAATCCGTATATGAATATTGTATATAGTTATTAAAATATATTAAAAATTCTTTCAAAATAATAAAAAGAAAAAGGTATAAAAATTTTGCTTCATAAACCAAAAAAAAAAACCCAAAAAAAAAATAAGCAAAAAGAATAATAAACAATAACTAAACTTAAAACTATCATTAATAATTATATTTAAAATTGATAAATAAATAATATTAAATTATTGAAAATCATTTAATATTTTAAAATCAGAATCTGAGTAATTAAAAAAAAAAGTTATTATAAGGTACCCATGATGTCTCCTAAAAAGTTTTGAAATAATTTTTTTTTTAAACATTCAAAATTTTTGGTATTCTGCCTTGTTTAAAATATCTATAATGATTTGGCTTCATTAATTATCAGTTTTATTATAAAAATTGTTATATTTAATAATAATGATTGTATGCCTTATCAAAATAAATTAATATTTTTATCATATTTTCAAAATAACTTACAATTTATTTTATTGTTTTTTAATTTTACAAATATATATTATAAAAATTATAATAAATAATTTAAGAATACCCCCCAGTTTATTATAAACGTTAAATGATTTTATCAATTATATTACAATTTTTATTATTAATAATATTATTTAAAATATACAAACATTTTCTTTATATGACTTTAAATAAATTCTATTAATTATATTTCGCAAAAGTTTTTTTTTCAAAATTATTACATAATTTGTATTATAAATATTATAAAAAATAAATAAGAATGTTTTTCTTTTTGCTTTATATGAAGTTGTGCAAATTAAAATAAAAGAATTTTACATAGAAATTTTAACAGAAAAAAAAATTATTTTTTATTTTTTAATTCCCTAAACTAATAATAAATCATAAAATTATATATATAATATGTATTTATGTATGTATTTATTTAAAATAAAAATTTTTAATATTTGTATATTTAAATAATATAAACAAAATGAAACATTTAGTCTTAATGTCTAAAATGTAATTTACATAAAACTATAATGTTGGAATGAAAATTTTTATGTGTAAGAATGTTAAAATTAAAAAACAAAAACAATATGAAATTAATAAAAACATATTTAACTTTTCTTCTTATATAATTATGAAATTTGATTTTTATAATTTTTTAAAAATTTTTAAATGAGATTTTTGGGTTTGCTTATTAGAAGGAGTACTACAACCATGAATTTAACCTTAAACGTGTTATGTTAAAGATTGACCAGCTCCTTATTTAAGAGCTTCTTCAAAGTATTTATAACAAAATATACTTTATCATGTACTTTAATTATCTTCATTTCGATGAACTAAATGTGAATTATGTGAGAATAACATTCGAACCATTTTTATATCCGAAATTTACAAATCTTGATACCAATACTGTTCTTGATACTTAATCGATAATTTTCATCTAATTCAAATTTCACATTTCGAAACTTACTATTCGCTTTAGTACGAAAATTGTTGTAAAGTTGTAAACAATATGAATTTATTATTCATTCAGAGTAACTGTGTATCCAATCAAGTAATCCAATTTATTTTCTTACATCAAAATGTAGTAAACACTTACTTGCACATGCAATGTTTAAAATTATTGGCATTGTATGTTATATTACAAAATAATTCAGTAGTCATATAATTTCAAGTTAAACGGAGCTTCAACACAATTAAATAATAATGAAAATGTAAAATTGCAATTTTAAGTTAGATAACCTCTCACAACTGGACTGATACGTACCTATATAACATTATAAATCCCTAACAAAAAACTTACTAGCAATAAAATTTTTATTTTATGAAATGGATTAAAAATACATTATAAACACGATATTAAAAAATAAATTCATATCTCATTTTTTTCTATAAAAGTACATAAAAGCAACGTCCTTTATTTGATCAAATTTTGTTTCTCTCCTAAACAAATAACTGCCAATTTTATATCGGCTCTGCAAAAGAAAACCAAAGTCAAAATATTTAATTCTAAATTGCTTAACAATTTCATATTTTACCTTTTCTTTATACTCTCTTCTCTAATCACATCAACTTCTTTATTTAAAATTCTTATTCTAAATTCAACATATTTAATAGCTTCATCTAAACTAAAATCCATAAATATATCTTTTCCAATATTTACTAATATTCTTTGTGGATCATCAATTTTTGCTTCCATAAAAATATTTCCTCCAATGTCCATTTGTGTTTTGAAACCATATCTCAAATGTTCTTTTATCGTTTCAATAGTATTTTTAAGCTGAAGAAATTCCATTATTTCATTATTTCGTAGGTTTAAATGGTATTCTAGCTCCTTTAAATCCTCTTTTAAATAATTGTTAATGAATTCTTCTAATCTTGCTGGAGTCAATGAAGATCTTTCCATTTTGCCTTTTATTAACTACTATGTGAGTATAATATTTTTATCTAAATAGTGAGTGTATTATAATCTAAAGACAGAATGTAGTTATATTTTATTATTTATTTTCAAATAAGTTCTAAATAATTTTAAAGTTAACCTAAAATGTATTTATATTAAAAGTCGAATCAAAACAATGATAAAGTGACAATAATGAAAAGAATTGTCAAAAAAAAGCAACAAATTAAATTTCAAACTTGTCAAAATTGCCAAGAAAGAAACTTGGCATCTCTGGTTTGAGGACTGACTAATTTGAATTTTTTTTTTTCATAATGGTATTCACAATTGCAGAAAAATAATTCACAATTAAATATTTAGAAATACAAAAAAATTAAATAAATTTGTAGTGTCATTGACATAATTTTGTAAAATAATTTTTTTTAATTATCCATCGAATCGAAATACAATCTTAAAAATTGTTTTATGCTTTAGAAAAGCCTAATCGTCTATCTTACTTTTTTACTTATATTAGATACAACTTTTTTCAATCGAATTTCTGCATTTTTTCTCAAATTATCGACTGAATGTTTAACTTTCAAAAACGAAGTGCATAAATTTTGTATGCATTACAGAAAAAAACAGATACTCAATTCGGAATAATTTTTCTCACTCGATAATTACATTATACAAATTTATGATAGTTACTCACTTTCTTTTTTTAAAACGTCAAATTTACAAACTGGACAAATGCATATTATTCTTGTCAAAAAAGTAAAAAGTAATGTAACTTTTTTCCAGATGAACCATAAAAGGAAATTTAGTTAACATTGAATAACTGAGCTCAAAACGACAAAACAATGAACTCACTTTTAGGGCAAAATTTTACCTTTAATATTTTTTTTCAAACAATTAGAAAACGACTGACAAGAAATCTATTTTTCTTTTGTAAATTTTTCTGACTGAAATTATGAACAATAGATCAGTTTTTTTTAAAATTCTTGATGGCTTTAAAAGATTTTTCCATTTTGACTTAGAACTGTCACTTTAGTACTGAATTTATTTAAACTCCTTAAGAGCCTTATCATAATTGGTAAAGCGTATCGAATGCACTTGGCGAATTCAGTAACATTTAAAATCATACATAATACGTCAGATTCACAATATTGTTACTTCAAGAAACCAAAAATGAGACTATCATAACCTCAAAGTTTTCATTCATTTTTTGTTTTTATTTGCTATGCTGGGCACACTAAATTTTTTATTTAATAGTTTTAACAGTTCATCCACTTAAAATTTAGGCAAATTCGCCAATCATGGTACCAAAAATGTCATTCATTTTTCTGATAGTGGTCCCAATATTATGTAAGTACATTTTTAATATCAAAACCATTAATATTATTTTATATATATCCCTAAAAGTTTACCAATTACCTAAAAAATTAAATATTAAATACAAACAATAAAATTTCATTATTTAAACATTTTATTTTAATAATGATAAGTTTAAAATCAAAATGCAATTTAATGCTTTTATACAAAAGAGGAAATAAATAATTTAAAACAAATTTTTACGTTTTACAAATTTGGAGCCAAAAAAAAAAAAAACAAAAGAAAAGTAATATTTTATTTTTGTATACCTAAAAATACATATATATATATTAATAATGTATGTATATATATATATATACATATGTATGTACTCTTTTTAATAAATTACCAATTTAAAAACGATATTTTAAATGTAGAAGCATACAATATTTATTACAAATAGCTCTTATCACAATAAAACTTTCTTTTCAAATTTATGCTTTTTTTTTTTTAATATATGTATGTATATTTTTTTTTTTTGTAATTTTTTAAGTAATTTTTTTATATATTTTCAAGACAGGTAATGGCAAGAATAATATTTTGTATTTTTTAAAATTTGAATAAGGACTTTTCTTAATACATTTTACTTTTTAAATGTTAGAGAAATAAAAGAAAAATTATTACATCCTTTAAAATTATGAATAATAATTTTATTTATATAAAATTATCCTTGTGAATTTCAAATATAATACAAATACAATATTGTTTTAGTAAAAGAACTTAGCCTTTTTATTTATATTGTTTTTTTTTTTTTTTCGTTTTTTCTTTTTATTGAAGAGTATTTTTGGGGATGATATACTTTAGTGCCTGCATTTTATTTTTGTTTTTTTATTTTTGTAATTATTTCAATATTATATTCATATAATGAAAAAAAAAAGATTTTATTCTTAATTTTACAACTAAATTATTAACTAGGAATAAGTAATTACACGGTATTTTTTTCAACTTCTTTAATATAATAATTATTAAATGTGTGAAATATAATTATAGGAGTTTTTATGATTAATATTAAAAAAAAGAAAAGCCTTGAGTAAATAACATATAGAACGGAAGAGTACTTTTAACAACAAAGAAACAAAATTATATAATAATTATATAATAAGAATAAAATTTCATACACTGCAAATATTAAAACCATTGATAATATAATTGCTTTTTTGTTTTTAAATTTCATTATGAAATTTAAATTAAATAAAAATTTTCTAACTGTGTAAATTGAATATAGAAAGTTACTTTTAAACTTTGAAATATTATATTTTTTTTTAATAGAGCCGAAAAAATTTATTTACCATTACCAAAAGGTAAAATTAATTGATTAAAAGATTGGAAGTTTTGCTTCTTGAATTATTCACAAATAATATTAATTATTAAAAATAATTCACTTGAAAAATAATTTTTTTATTAATAAATACGCTATACATAATGTAATTAAATATTCATCATTTGCCGTAGTTTTTACAATCTCAAATAATAAATTAACAAAAAAAAAACCGAATTAGAATTTTATATAAAATCAGAAATCTGATTTAACTTATTCATTATGGTACTCAAGGTGAAATGTTAAAATAATCATTCTAAATACGTAAAAATTTTAAAATATTTTAGTGAATAATTTAAAAATAAACTACGAAAAATCTTATAAATGTTATTTATTTACGGTTTTTCAAAAAAATTTAAAAATTTATGAATTTCTAACAAGAAAAAACTTCCTATCAGTAAAAATTAAAATTCACAATAAAAAATACAATTTATATATATTTTTTTACACAATCTTATTAAACAAGAAAATATTTAACTTCAATTACACTTGAAAATTAGTGTTTTCTTTTATAGGGAAAAGAAATAAAATTATTAAGAAGTAATTTTATTTGTGTGTAATGAAAATATTACTTTTATTTTATTTTTATTAATTTTTCTTTTTTTTTTTTTAATCATAATTATTTGAATATTTTAATTACAACGCTACAAAAAAAATAATATGTACGCTTTAACTTAAAAATTAAAAAATATTTATAACGATATGTGTGTAGAACAAAAGTATATATAACTACAATAAGTACAAATAATATTGTAAAAATAGTGAGTGAATTTTTCAAATTTATATTTTAAAACATTAATTTAATAATTACTTAAAATCTAAAAAAAAAAAATATTTATATATTTATATAAGCCTTAATATACACAATTACAAAAATATAAATCAAAATAAATAAATTATGCAAATTGTTTTTTTTTTTTTCTGTTAAAATTACAATCGAATCTGTGTTACACTTAATAAAAAAAGAAAAATAAAGATTTTTAAAATTATTTCTTTATTTTCAAAATAATTTTAAATTTTATTTAAAATAAAAATTGGAAACATTTGGGGCACCAAGCTTTCATTATTTATAATTTTTAAGAAATATTACAATTTTTCCTAACCAGATTTTTATATATATTTTTTTTTATATACGAATGTATAATTAATTATTACAAATTACCAATTTATTAAAATTATTAGAAAAAATATTTCTTAGTTAAATTTTTTCATCTCATTACTAATAATTATAAGTATGTAGTTTTAAATTCAAAAACAAAAAAAAAATTTATTTTACACAAAAAAATTACGAATAATACTTGTTAATTTATTACATTTCTTCTTTTTTTTTTATTATTTTTTATATTTGATGATTTTTTTTTCATTAAATTTGATAAAGTATTTACAAAAAATTTATTACTAAATTTAGTAATTAGCACTTTTACATTTCAAAATATAACACACTATTTAACATATTTTTATTTTCTTTCTTGCTTCATATTACCATTTTTTTTTTATATTTTTAGTTTTTCTATTCTTTTACAATTTTTTTTTATCAAATATTTTTTTTAAACTTAATTAAAGAATCAAATAAATACTGTTTAAAAAATAAAATACATCATGCCTATAAATAATTTTTTTTTTTCTTAATATAGTGTTATTTAATTTTAGTTAATATAATATAAATTTTGATAGAATTTTAGTTTAAATATTTTCGACATTTTTTCGATCCACAAGAGCATGGGATTTTAACATCCTCAAATGGGAATTTGTAGTCATACGTTAGCTCCTCACCTTGTACAATTCGTCTTAATGCGAATATTATAATATGTTTATGACCAAGAATATCAACAACTTTTGAATAGCAATTTGGCTAAAAAACAAAATTAAAAGATAATTTAATTGTAGATATTCATAACAAAAATACTAATTTAAGTTCATTTTAAATAATTGTTTTCTTTTCAAAACGAAGGAAATTAGCAAATAATGTTGTGGAAATAAAATCGAAAATTATATAGAATACTTAAAGAAATATTAAAGTATTCTATTTGCAATGAATTTATGTGAGTTTTACAAGCTTTACATATTAAAATGAATTTGAGAAATTAAATTAATTTAAGCGAATATATTTGCTCTAATATATATTCAATCCGAAATTTTAAGAAAGTACAATCATAGAAATGCGAAAAATTATGTAATTCTTTATACTAAATAATAATAAATAAATTATAATAAATCAAAAAGCAACGTACCTCGCAGGAATGATTTATGAAACGTGCAGCATTTCCTCTCATTGTCGCATCCACAACTAAATTATCATCGATTTTGAACATATAACATCCAATACCTTTACTATCATAATATCGTTCCCTTTTGTCGGTCAATGTTGACCGTATTAGTTCCCCAGCATATTCTATAACCATTTCACCTAATAATATTTAAAGTATTATTAGAAAAATAACTTTAATTATGTTTCCTCTTTACTTACCGGCCTCAATATCTTTTGTGCAATAAAGTCCTCTACCATGAATATGCGATCGGAAAACTCCTATATAATCTTTGTAAGTTTCTTTCAAAGTCCTGTATTTCATAGCCATTGGCAAATTACTACCAGTACCACGCCTATAAATATACATAAAAGCGCTTGTAAATTTTTATTTATAAATTATAATTTTAATATACATATATATATTCTTATGAATTAAAAATTAAATAATTTAAAATATTTGATGGTTTTTTTATGAAGGAATCAGTTTTATAATATTATTAAATCTAAAAATGGCTTTAATATTAAATCAATTAATTACCTTTGAATGCACTCAATATCTGTTGGTTGAACAACTACTTGCGCAGGTTGCTTTCGATGACGTGACGCCAGCCAACCAAACATATCATAATCGGATCGTTTGATAAATGGTTCACATCTTGCTGACCCATATAAGCTTTCTTTGAATTCTTCACATTCAGATGAATAATCTGTAGCAGTAAATTCACGTTTATGATATTTTGTTGTGTATTTGGTACATCGTTCAACACCAGGCAATTGTTCAATTAAATATCTTAAAGCATTTGTTTTTAATCCAAGCATTTGTATGCCACACATATCTGCTACTGGACCTTCAGGAAGTGGTGCTAAACCATGAGCTTTTCTTGCCATTTGTACTGCTTCAAAAACTTTTTCCCAAACATCTATAATTGATGTTGATTTATAAACAAAGCCATCTTCACTTTGTATTTCATATAAAATTTTTGGACCCTTTTGATAATTTTGTGGATCAATTGATTTTGCTAAATTATTTGCAACTTGATAGGTTTCTGTTGAAATGGATTGTGGAATAATATTTGGTGTTATATTCTCTTTTTGATCAGTAACGAATGATTTATTTTCTTCTACAGCAACTGCTTCTTCGTCAATAATTTCGTCTTCTTCAAAATTTTCACTCATATTTGGTGATCCTTTACAGTCATCATTTTCTAAATTTTCAAGTATTTCAGAAATTTTTTCTTTGACTTCTTCTGGAGCAGTGCTTTGAGATATATCATCGTTAACATCATTACAACTTTTTGGACTTTGTTCAGCATTTTCCATTTCGATTCGGGATATAAAGTCGAATTCATCATTTTCTGTACTATTTTCCAATGTTAAATCAGGTTTTTCCATAGTTTTTTGGTCATCTTTATCTCTGGACTCAGCATTTTCCATAAAAATATCGGTTTCCAATGCATTATCGTTATCGACGATATCATTTTCGAAATTAGTTTTTTCGATTAATTGAAATTCATTATTAATTTCTGGATTGCCCCGAAATTCTTCAATAGGATCTTTAAAACTTTTCTCTTGATTTAGGAACGTTTCTTTTTCCAGAATGATATTGTCGTTTTTGATTATTTTCTGCTCCGTTGGCGAAGGAATTGGCACCGCAATAGTGTTCTTCTGTAACATAGTTTGCATGGGCAAAACTCGATTTGTTGGTCTGGATACTATTTGATTATTTGAAGGAACCTTTGAAAAGAAATAAAATATTAATGTAAAAAATATGTTGCAAAATTTTTAAGTCATAAGCAAAATGTTCAAACTATAAAAATAAACTTACGTGTGGAATAGGATTCACGATATTTGTTGGAATATTGTTGCTGAATGAGGATACAAATGGCGCTGACGGTAATTGAATACTTGTTGTAGTCGGCAAACTTATTGTTTGAGCTGACTGCATAGACGAGCTTAGTTGTGGAGTTGGAATTGGCAAAACATTATTGTTATGACTATTGATGTTGTTAATAACATTACCACTATTAATGCTATTATGATTTTGATTATTATTGCTGTTGCTATTGATATTATTCATATTATTGCTGTTAATATTGTCATTATTACAAATTACATTGTGATTACTCATGTTATTAATTATATTATTGACATTATTACTATAAATATTATTGCCAATATTGTTGTTATTGTTGTTATTATGAATAATGTTGTTATTAATAATATTATTATTCATATTGTTGGTACTAATATTATTATTGATATTATTGTTGATATTATTGTTGATATTAATATTACTGTTGTTATTATTATTCTGATTATTAATATTATTGACAATAACATCATTACTGATAATATTATTTTCGATATTATTATTGCTATTAATATCCATATTATTGCTATTATTACTATTGTTCATATTATCATTACTGGTGATATTATTATTAAAACTATTGTGATTATTAGAGTTAGCATTAATATTACTAATACTATGATTGATATTATTAATGCTATTATTATTCATGATACTGATATTATTAATATTATTATTACAATTATTAATATTATTATTTATATTACAATTACTTAAATTATTATTAATATTAATATTATTATTATTAATATTATTATTATTAATATTATTATTACTATTATTACTGTTATTACTATTATTATTGTTATTAATATTATTATTACTATTACTATTACAAATATTATTATCACTATTGTTGTTACTATTATTGTTAGCAGCATATAACAAATTATTTTGTGGAAATCCCAAGGAACTGTTGGTTTGGCTATTAATTTCATAGCATTGCGAAGCTAAATTATTGTTACTATTAGCAATATTATTAGCTAATGTGGGGGTATCAGACGCGAAAGTTAAAATTGTTGCTGGAATTTCAGTAACTGAAGTGCAATTATTTTGAGCCTTGATATAGTCTTCAACATTTTTGTTTACACTTTGCAAATTGGAGTGTACATTTAAATCACTTAGTGTTTGACTTCCATCTGGGGTAGTCACCAAATTTATTTCTATTTTATTTTCTATTGGATTAGAAGATAAATTTTTAAAATGAGCTGGGCTTGGTTTTGGAGCAATTAATTGTGGTGTAGTTGGCATTGTTTTCACAACAACTTTGGGAGACACTGGTTTAGCAACCACTTTTGGTTTTATGGATGCTGACGCAACTTTGTTCAATGGTTTAATCAAATTTGCCTTTCGCTGAACAGTCTGATTAGATGTTGAAGTAGTCAATTTTGGTTTCAATATCTGCTGACTCGTTGTGTTAATAGTTTTAACCTGTCTAGTTGTGTTATTTGTATCAACATTAGAAGTGGTTATAATTATTGGAGCTATTGAATCCATGGCTGCTATATTAGTTGGGATTAATCCAGAAGTAGTATTAACCATTTGAGTATTTAAATTTTGGGGTTGCTGTAATTGTTGAGAGCTCAAATTTGTAATTTGATTTACTATGTGCGGTTGAATTTTTTTAACAATTAAAGGTGAAGTCTTAGCAGTGGGTTTCACAGGAGAAGCTGGTCTTATTTGTGGTTGAATCGTATTTATAGAAATTTGTTGACGAATTGGTTGAGTAATTGTTATAGTTTGCGTGGTACTTGATTGTTGGGGCTGTTGATTTTGAATTATGGTCGCCGGTTGATTTGGCTGTTGAACATTATATACTTGCTGAACTGTCTGAGGCGTATGTAATTGCTGTGGTTGTATTTGCTGTACAATTGTAGGTTGTTGTATTAAATTGGTTGATATTGCATTAGCTTGTTGATTCGCTGGCTGTTGAATCATGTCTACATTATTCAAAACAACGTAACCTCCGGGCACTTCCACAATTGGCTCAATTTTACTTGCTTGGAATACCTAAAGTGAATATATTAATAAATTGAGACCAAAGAAGAAATCGAGAGAAAAGGAGGAAAATAAAACCCTAATATATATATACCTGTGTAGTCGTTGCAGAAAAGCTGGAATTTTGACTGAGAACTCCTGGCATAGCAGTTGACACAAACTGCTGCGAAGACATTACTGTATTTTGTACTATGGTCTCTAAACCATAGTACATCGGTTGAGTTCCTGTCGTAGTTAATAGCATTGTGGGATTGCCAATAACATCCAGAGTAGCTGAACTTCCAGGAGTCGCTCCCAGGACCATTTGATCAGCCGACATTACACCGCATTGTGTAGGTTGGATCAGTGTTCCAATAACTTGGGGTTGAGGTTGTTGTTGAGCTAACTGTAGTGTAGGGGTAGTTGAAATCATTTGAAGTCCTGAGGAACCATTAGTCAAAACAAGATTTCCACTTGAATCTGTCTGTAGAAACGCATTTCCTAAAGGATTAGTTGTTATAAATGATTGTTGTGGTTGTTTAAAATCGGGTGTTGCTGTTGGCATAGCCAAATACTGGATCTGATTGTTATTATCAATGTATGTAACAATATTTTGAGGCGCTGTGTTTGCAACTTGTTGGAGTATTATTGGTTGCGTATTGGGATTTTGGGCACTTTGCTGTATTATTATAGGTTTTTGTGAATCATTTTGCGTTTGATTTCTAAATATTGGAATCTGATTTTGGCCAACATTTTGAATAGTTGCTGCTGATGCCTGCTGCGGCGAAATTTTCTTTAATTTCGGGGAAACCACTGTTTTTTGAGATTTTGCTTTTGTCGTAAATTGAGCAGGTCTGGGACTTAATTTTGGTTTTTTTGTTGGTTTTTCCAAATTTATAATGTTCGAGGCAACAACATTAGCGTGTGAAACGTTTTGCGTTTGAATATTTTGCTGTTGTTGTTGTTGATTTGTAGCGATTGTGAAAATTTGTTGCCCATTACTATCTAGAGACATTTGTATCGTTGGAATGTTGTTGTTACTATTTTGAAATTGACCCAAATTTTGAATAGATGAAATGAACTGCTGGTTCAACCCACTAGGTTGGCTAGTTTGACTTATACCAGGTTGTGATTGTTGTGCATTCAAGAATATATTAGGAATATTTGATTGGTTTATTTGAGCAATTGGTACTGTGTTATTTTGTATTTGTATATTTGGTTGACCACGCAGAGGAGTTATTTGAACATTAGTAGTATTAGGTCGTCCTAAAATATTATTAGCTGTGTTATTTTGAATAGGAAATGTCTGGCTTAAGTTTTGAATGAAGGTACCAGATGTGGCTTGATGTGAACTTTTATTAAAATCCAAAAGAATATTTTGTTGTATAGAAGAATCGGATTCTGGAGTACGAGCGGTTTCAGATTCGCTTTCACTAGTAGATAACGGTTCACATTGAGCCAAATGACGCTGAAAAGATTCGTGTGTTCTATAAGTGCATTGGCACCGGTCACATTTTACTGGGCACCCAATTGAATTTGGATCATATATTCTAAACTCAGGCGTTGAGCTTTCCTCATTTGCTATAAGATCATCCATTCCATCTAACTGAGAGATCTTAAATTTTTCGGTTGTTGTTTGAGTCTTAGTATTGGCAAGACCAGACAACAATGTTTCTTGACAGTATTTTTTTGCTGCACTCCATGTAAAAGTTTTTAGTTTATTTGTATCTTCTGCTTGAGATCCACGTCTGGTTGGGCATTCCTCCTTACGTCTTCCAAGTGACAATAAAACTCCTTCAGGTAGTCTTATATCTTGGAACCCTTTTGACAGTTTTCGCCTTTTAATTGAATTGTTATCTAATTTACAACTCCATGCAAAACTTGATGGACGATGCTGACTTCTAGATGCATTTCGACCTAATATTTCAGTTTTGTTGCGTTTTATATCCCTTCCTACGACACTGCCGATCGGTCTTACAGCTGACAAAAGTGCATCTTCTACATGATTAATACCACCTTGACCTATTGACCAGGAACTTTCGCCTAGATCTTTACTGGGATTATTGCAATCTCGATCAGCATCTGAAGTATTTTCATTATTATTGTCCCGTGATAAGTCGTTAGGAGGCAAACTTTCAGGCTTAAAATCCACTGTGTGAAGATCTTCGTAAACCATTAATTTCGGAAATATATCAAGCATTGAAATACCATCCAAAAGCTCATGCGGTAAATCTTCAAATATTGCATCTTTAATTTCAGGTGGCAATAAATCTGCGTTATTTTGTGGCTCTTCTTCAGTTGTAGTCTCGTCTGCAGAATATAAATTTTGTCCAACTGCTTCAAGAAACTGTTTAACAACAGATCTATCTGCATCATCGGCATTTTGTAACAAACTATTATGCCATCTAGCAATTTGCGACAGTCCGAATTGCACAACATTTAAATTACTCGTGTGATCAACAGTAAAATTACGGTTTATATCGCCATTCGCACCTAATTGAAAATAATTACTCTGTATTGAAGTCTTGATTGTGTACTGTACAATTTTCCAAGGTTCTTTCATTGACCAGTACAATCTTGTACAGTGAAAATCAACTGGAACTATAGCTTCATTAGTGTCGGAAAACTTAGGAAAAACACGGCCTAAATTTTTGACGTGCAATGAACCAATTAAGAAATTCACTTTTGATGGTTCCACCATTTTTTTCTTTTTTCTATCGAGCTCTACGTAAACTGGACGATTAACTTCGAAATTGTGTTCATAATCGCATTTTTTCTTGCTAACAAATTCTAAATGTTCAGGACAATATATTGTTTTATCCGTCATAAAAGCACATTCTGTTTTTCTTGCACACGGAAAATGATAATGTTCTCCACAACTTTTAACATTGCACCCAACTGTAGCTCCACGGTTTCCGCAAACACTACATTTAATCATTCTTCCTCTAGATATTGCGCTATGCACATTCTGCAAAGAACCATCGATTTCTTCAAAAACTTCTGCTGACCACATTGCACAATTTATATGCACCCAGGAATTATGACCACAATATAAAAGTCTTGATTCCTTATCTGATTCTGATTCACCTGTTCCCTTACAAAACATACACATTCTAAAATCGTTTTCTAAATTTTGTGAGTAAATGCAGTCGTCAACATCTTCTGGCAAATTTATTTCAGAAGTTTGTTGATCTGAATTCATTCCATTTTCGGTACCAATTCCATCTAAACAATCTTCGGAATGTTGAGAAAAATTACATGCATCAAACATATCTTCCTCTAGCGCATCTGTACAGGCTTTCGTTTCATTTTGGAACCAAGGAAATGTTTCGCTGAGTATTTCCTTATAAGTTAGCATTAATTCATCACAATTGGACGACGTTATAACATTTTCCATGTCGAAGTTAAATTCAGCCAAAGAAATATAATTACAAGAATTTATTTTATTTTTGATATCTACCAAACTTAATGTTGGAGAAATTTTCATTCTGCTAGCTGGACACACACACTTTGTAGCATAAGATGCACCGTTGGATATTGGTGAATCAGGTGATTCTGTAAACTCATAAATATCATTTTGGATATCCTCACTGCATTGTGAATTATCTTCATTTTCCTTGTTCATGATATTTCGTAGACTATTTTGAATTGCATTCTTATTAAAAAGCAAATTTCTTACTGCACTTTGATTTTGACAAACACAAGTAAATGAGCACTTTTTCCTAGGGCTTAACTTTAACAAAGCACATGCTTGCCTACTTTTACTTAATAATTTTACAACACTCAATAGCCCTGACTTGAATTCTGCAGCAACAGCTTCACGCCATTCCGATTTTTTATTATCGTTGCATTTGAATGTACATTTCTTACACACAAATTCAATATTTTCAGGTAACGTACTTAGCAAGTTATACTGTTCATCGGAGAGACCTTCACATCTTGCATGAACCCATCTTTGGCAATCGCCACATTCCATCATTTTCAGATCAAAATCATTTTCCTCGTAGCATTTTTGACAGATGGGACAATAATTACCTTTCTTACGCAATTTAAAGCACTGGGAGCACATTGGTAAATTACCAACAAATTTTGAAACTTTTGTCGTACTACAACTTTTGCATTTTAAACAACCAGCACATATAAGTGGTCGATCAGCCCCAAGTAATCTTTTACTTGTTCCTAAACAAGTTGTATGATAATATTTTTGACATTTTTGGCATTTTACTTTAGAACCAGATGTCATATTGCATGTATAACATACCGTACATCTCGGGCATAGCCAATTTAAACGATTTGTAATCAAGTTCATATTTTCAATAGGATTTATTGATGTATCTAATAGATTAGTCATTGTTTCATCTAAAGAGGAATGTTTAAAATTATACTCGTCAGCAACACAATATTGATGATATGGTTCACAGCAACATGCACAAAATACCATACCATCTAAACCACTACTGCCACATAAAAAACATAAAGCTCTCATTGGTACCTTTTCTGTAACTATAATACCAAAACCATTTTGACTGACTTCAGCTGGGTCATAGTTTTCCCAAAAATCTATGGAAATTCGAATAATATTATGCAACTCTTCTTTAATATCATTGAGCTCTTTACAGAGGGTAAGCTTTTTGGAAAATGCATTCAGATTCTTTTGACCTAAAGAAGCGAATGGAATAATTGCATTTGTATGTTGAGATTGATAATAATTTTGATTATTTCCCTGACGTGGTAACTTTCTTTTAGTAGCTTTAGAAATTTCTTCCAGTTTGACTTTTTTGTCATGCCTTGCAATATAATTTTCATTAGAATACTCTTTATCACAATAATTGGACATTTCAGTTGTTGATTCACCTTCACAGCTAAATTCATCAGCATTCATTGTAGATTCGCTTTTTATTAAAGCATTTTCCAATGAATCACCACAAAATTCTTGCGAATTTTCTGACGGTTCGACATTAAAATCATCGTGGTCTGGTATAGAACTTTCTGATTTTGCTTTAATGTTACCAAAAGTTTTGACATCGTCATTTCTTGAATCAATAGTTTGATCATCAATAATATCACAGGTAACTGTATCATCAATTAAAAGGTTGTCTCTCACGTTATTTGATGTTGAATTGCTTTCTGAGATTTTATTAACATTTTCTTCGATTTTCTGCTCTAATTCAGTTGGAGTTGCAGGTGGACTTAACCCCAAATCTTGTTGATTCGGATGATTACATGATGAGCAGTTGTCTCTTATATCATTAGGCAACTCAACTTCAGCGTTGTTGGGAGATTCGGGTCTTGGTGGTGTTTCCATATTTTCAAGAATTGATCCTGCATCCTCTGGAAAGGTTGCTAATGTTTGCCCCAAAACTATTGAAGCACTGCGGCAGACATGTTTTACTCGTGGCCCTTTTAAATCAATCCTTTGTCTTTTCGGTTCTAAAGCTGTTATAGTTGCTGCGGAAGCCACTGAATTTTGACTTGGAGAAGTGTTTGATGAGCTTTGTAATTCAGCACTTTTATCTTTTTTCCTAAGTTTAACTTTTGTACTGCTTTCAAGTTCCGTTAATAATTTATTTGTTTCTGATGTGTTCGAGCTATTTTCTGATGTTTTTATTGTTTTACTTTCAAGATTTATTTGAACTTCCTCATGTTTGTTACTTATTTCAACTATAGTTGCTCCTTTTTCTAATACTGTTGGTTTAAGTTTAGATGAATTGACATATTTGGTATTGTTTTCAACTAACGTATTTGAAATTGTTGCAGTTTTGGATGCTGTATTTTCATTTAGTGTAATAGATGATGGCAACGGTGTAGTGGATAATGATTTTATATCATCAATTCCCGTTGTATTTGATGTGAGGATCTGATTATTACGATAATTATTATTACCATTGCTACTATTATTATTACAATTATGATTTACATTGTTATCAAAAAGGTGATCAGCTGAATTAGAATTCCAATGTATTAATTTTGTGTTTGCAGTATTTGTGAATAAATTTGATGACGTCTTACTATTCTTAAATTTATCCAACAATTTTTTGACATTACCATCAATATTTACATTACTAAATGCACTATTTGATACGTTTAACTCCTTAGGTTTATTTACATTTATAGCTGATTTCTTATCACTATTGTTAACATCATCTACAAATGATGGAGGCAATACCGATTTCAGGCGATTTTTATGTCCAGAAGAAAAATGGCAATTTTTGATGCATTTTTTTAGCCAACATGCTGAACAACGTTCTTTATAGGTTTTCTTAAAATTTTTTAGACTTGCTTTTAACAAAGGAGTCACGATACATGAACCTAAAATCAAAAAAAAAAATTTTCTTAACTTAATTTATGAATAAATATAAAAAAAAAATTAAATTACCATCGCCCCGATTACATTGTAGTATATTCGGGCTAGCTCCAATTGAAGTTATAGATTTTTTTGTAATTTTCGATATAAATTTTCTACAAATATCACAACATTGAATACCATATTTTGTAGAATCTGCTAGATTTTTTGAACTAATTGGTGTAAGACAAACACCACAGTTTGTATTGTTACCTATAATTTCATAAATAAATAAAATTTTTAGTATTTTTTTCAACATTAAATAATTATGTATGCATAATTTGTTTTATAAATATGCACATTATAGAATTCTGGAAAATTAGTAGCTAGTCAAAAATGTATTTTTTAAAAATATGTATGTAAATAAGAACATGAAGGCCAAAAAAGAAATATGTAAAAGAGTAAAATTTGAAACTTACAATTCTGTTGGAATGCCCCCATGGTTCCAGATAAACTTGTAGAAAAGCCACTACTATTACTTAATAATTTTTTTTGTTCTTTTATTGGATTTGGTGTTTCAGAAAATTGTAATCTTGGTTGCCTTAATATACCTTTCGATGATGACATAGTATTGAAAAGAAATTGATTTGAATTTTTAAGTAATGCCGAATTATTTGATCCAGATAGAACAAATGGATTTAATTTGATATCTTCCAATGATGTTCTTGTAGTAAAGCCATCTAAAATAGAAAAAATTTTAAAAATTATTTTACATATGTATTTATTTTTTGATATTAAATAAAAAATTAAAAATAAAGCTGTTATGAAACAAAAATTTAAAATTCTTTAAATGTCATTGTGTTGGAAATTTGAAATTTGAAATTTCAATTATATTTGTATATTTATATATCCCATGTACGGTATAGATGAAGTCAGCCCCGGATTTATCATACATGCAAAGTATGCATTTGCAATGGGCGATAAAAAATAGGGGCGCCATTGAAAACTTAAAAAACCTCTAAATTTAAAAAAAAAAAAATTTTCACCCAAAAAAAAGGATTCCAAGTTTTTTTTTATACATCAATTTATAGCGAAATTAACTTAATAAAATCTACCTACATGCAAACATAATATTTTGTTCCTACACATATTTTCTATTTGCACCATATAACAAAAAATGTTCATAGAATTAAAATTACTCATACATTTCTTTACTCTACACTACTCTTTCATTCTTATTTTTTATGTACTGTATATGCCTATAAACACAGAATATTATTTCACACAGCTGTATACATTCAATCGTTCATATACAATATTTTCACTTATATATGTATATAAGTGAAATCGTCTCATATAATATACATACATATATAGAAGCAAAGTACGCAACAAATACAAATATTCAAAAATACACATGTACACATAATTTATATTGTCTAATATGAATAAGATCAACACTCATGCGTACACATATAATTATCTCATAAAGCAAAATTTTTATTTTGCTGAGATTGCTCCCTATCAACACTCGCTCGTACACATATAATTATATCACAAAGCAATGTTTTTATTATGCTTAGTGGCTACACTCGTTCGTACACATTATATTTAAATTGTTTCATACATGCAAAATTTTATTTTTGCTTAGTTGGCGCCCACTCACCAAACAAACAAACACATTATTATAATGTATTACTTTTCTGTATACTATTGCATTAGTAAACAACAAGAACAAAACAAAAAAAACACAAATTAAGAATGAGAATAGAAAGAAATTAGAAAAAGAGAATGAGAGCAATATTCTTAAATGATGGAAAGCATAGCTTGATATTGAGATTGTGTATACCAATATTTTGTTTTTGTTTAACAACAAAAAATTTTGAATGAATTTTAAAATTACATGATCGTTATGAATTTCTACTACTATGTTCTGCTTTCGTTTTTGAAAAAACTGTTATCAATCACAGAATTAAATTTTAATTGATAAAATCTACTACTTATATTGAATTGAAAAATGTTGTTTAATAATCAAGTGAATGTTAAGAATTTTTATGCTGAATTGATGTAGTGTAAGTCATCCAAAAAATAAGAGTAAAATGAAATGGCGCATAATTTGCTTCACACATTTATCTCCAAAATTAAAACAGTTAAGCAAAACGACATTCAATAAGCTTTGAAAAAGTTCATTTGATATAATTTTCATAGAACCTTTTACAATAAGTTTCATTACGTCAAAAAGTAAATTTTTTGGTTGTTAAAATCAAAAAATCAAGTTTAAGTGATTGATATAAATCTGATCATAACTTCATAAAAAAACGTACAGTTAAATAAATTACCTTGTTTTTGAATTTATAAAACAAAAAATTGAAAGTTTAGTTCCAGACTTTAATTCTATAATTCAGCACAATAAGGTTACAAGAAACTGCTTTATGATGCACAATGTGCAATGCCTATTAAATTTTGTTCACAGTAATAAAATAGGTGAAAAGGTTGAAGGGGGGGGGGCGCACTTTTTAGGAACCGCTTAGGGCGACGAATACATTAGAACCGCGCCTGGATGAAGTGTAATATACATAACGTATGTATACCCATTTATTTAATTTTAGTTCAGAATAAGATGATGAACTGCAAAATCACATATTTATGTACATGAATTTGAATGTATTTAATTGTTTAAAATGCATACTTATATAATAATGGAAAAATTTACAAATTCATTCATAAAAACTTAATATTACACATGATTCGTTAATTTTTTACAAAATATTTTAAAAAAAATTCTGTCTGTCATATCAATTACTAATAGAAAATCCTAAAAGAATAACACTAACAGCTTGTCAAAATATAATTTAATATTAAAATATTATTTTGGTGAAAATTATGTACTTATAAGTAGTAGAATTTTATTTTTCCTAAATGCTTACATATACATATATACTATTAAATTATATACATACATAAGTACATAAATATGAAACAATAAATTTTCAAAATCTGTTGCTATAATAAAAAAAACTGTAAACAAAATGATTAATATAAAAATTTTTTTTAACACAATGAACATAAGTACACTAGTATATATGTACATACACACTTAGCTTGGTGTTTAATCATATTCACATAAATGTACATTATTATGCCTATATTAATGAATTTTTACTTGTATGTATGCAAAATTATATAATGAATAATATGCACGTATTAAATGTAACTAAAAACTTTTAACTAAAAATAACAACATAAAAACCGCATAATATTTAAATGTCACTTCTATAACTCAATATGGGTTCCTAAAATTAAATATCATAATTTATATGATTAAACATTAATTCTACTATACATAGTTAAAAATTACAATGTTTTTTTTTTCCTTTCATATTTGCTTATTTTACTAAGTAATAAACAATAGTACAAATGTATAATTCTTACTGACAAGCAACCTTTATTTTCCCACCCTTTTTTTGTATACTTTTTTTTTTGTCACTATTGTAAACTAAATTCAGTATAATAAATTTAAACTTAACAATAAAAGAGAAATATTTATGTAGTTACAATATTATATAAAACAATATAAAAGGACATTTCCATATATACTTATAAACAATATTGTATCCTTCCTGTATCCTTATACCAAATAATTTTATACATAATTACCTATTATATATATACATTATGTATGTATATGTGAATTATAATCGCATAAATGTATGAGCTTCCTTAATGTTTTATTTATATTTTTCCTATTATATGAATCAAAAATTTTCACTTAAACTCGTACCTTACCTACCACCAACCACCTCTATATACATATGTATACCTTTTTAATTTTTACTACTCCTATCCTCATATTATATTGTAATTTATAAATGTGTTAGCACATTATACAGTTATACAGTATATTCAATTACATAATATTATGTGTATGTATGTGTATAGACTCATATAGAGTGAAATTAAATTGTCATGGTTCGTTCACATGTAATATATTAAGAGGGAAAAATTATGATTTCATCAAGTAAACAATATAAGTTGTTATTTTGGATAATATTAACATGAATACATAATATGTACATATATGTGAGTATTGAGTATATATGTACGTACATATATGTTTATAAAAGAAAGTAGAAAAAGAAAAGTTTATATCAATTTTAAAAACATTAAATAAGTCGTATAGGTTGGTAACTTTACCAAATTGATATGAGAATAGAAAACATTTAGAATGTGTGAGAATAACAATATATCATCATCATAAATATCACGTGTTAAATAAAAATTTTTGATAACAAGTTTTAATATTATTATACATGTTAAAATTCTCAACATATTTGTAGTAAATGGTTGCTACTTGATAATATTTAATATTAATAAAATATATATTTAATATAAGTTTATATTAACAAAATTTTATTGAACAGATTTCCTCATCAATCAAGGCATTAATTATGTCCTACTCGCAAAAATTACCTTGGAAGCAAATAACGAATAAAATATTTAGATTTTTTTCTTAACACGCTACTTTTGCTATATACTCGTATTTTTAAGAAAATCTTTTAAAAGGCAAAAACGAACTTATATAGTGTACGAAGTGCAACAATAGGTGCAAAGAAACCATTAATTAACTGAGTGCCTCAAATATAAAACATATGAAACAACAATATTCTAATTATCATACACAAAACGAAAATTATTTTTTAATGAATATAGAATGCTGTCAATTTTATGGCCAATTTATACATATATGTATACATATATTATTACATGACTTCGAATGTATATATACTTCAATTAACGAAGAAAGTTAAAATTTCATTGAAATACGGAAGTCGGCTAAGCATACGCTTATCTACTTTTTGGTTATTAGAGTCTATGGCAGATTTTTGAATTATAATATAGGGAAATTAGCAAAAATTTAAAGCAAAAACAAATTTTACAAAGATTAACCAGCTTGATGTGCATTAATTTTCTTCCACTTAACTCTTGTACTTAGAAGCTCATAATCGGTAGGTTATAATATATAAAACGAAGATTTAACATTAATGTCGAATATTGAATATTCTACAAATTAAAATTAAAACTGAATCTTACAGTTATGTATGTATACCAGTTATGTTATAACTACCAATTACTAACAAAAATATGATAAAATATTAATATTCACTTTTAATACTTAAGTCTATTTATGACATATTTTACGCTCAGTAATTTTTCTTATGATATATTCTCAAATAATGTCAAATTTTATATTAAATTACTCTTCTTAACATAAGTAAAAACAGAAATATTTTCCCATTCTCTCTCATGTCTTTCAGTTCACATTTTCCACATCATATCATATGCATATACATATCTCATACTTCAAATTTTCCACATCACATGCATAATTATAATGTACATTAAGAGAAAAAAACTTTATTAATTAATTATTTTTAAACATTTATGGTGACAATATTGCCACCTATGTAACATTTTACATATTATATAATATTATGTAGTACTCGTATGTGCAAATTAAATACGCATCATGAAAATAAAAAAAAAAAATTAAAAATCCTTCTAAAAGTCTTCATATATTTAAAATGTCCCCTGAAGGTGAAATTTTCTTATATAATATAAATATAATTTATAGACAATAGAAGACATTATTACTTTACCCTCCTCCAGCTTTACATAAATAACATGTAGAATGGTGTTAATTTTCTTTTTTTTTTTTACAAAAGCAAAATAACAAATAACTAAAGGCGTTAAAATGGTAAAGTTAAAGCTATTAAAATAAACAACAAGAACTCGCGTAAAAATCATCACCCAGAAAACGAAACGAAAAAAAACAAAAAATAGAAAAACTTTTTCAAAAAAGATAATGACTAGAACATTTTGTGGTAACATAAGGTTCTATTGTTACAACACTACTATGCAAAGTCAATGACAGATAAAGAGAATAAGAGAGAGAAAAAAACAATATTCGGCTTGTTAGTTGCTAACAATATATGATATATTATTTTATGCTCTCATTCATATTTTCATTATTAAAAGAATAACTTTTACATAATGTAAAAGTTCGTTCGTCATCATCATCATCAGCACCATATATCACAGTCAGGAATTAATATTAGTTATGTTTTCCCTTTTCCTTATTTATTAATATTCAGTTGTTGTTGTTAGTTAAAAAAATGTCCTAGAATGTCAGCCGTGTTTATTACATTTATCTTTTTTATTGTGTTTTATATAGGTATGTTTGTATACCAAGGAAAACTTTTTGATTTTTTTTCGGCATACCGATGCATTGTGATTATTGTTTCCTTATATATTTATGTATACATATATAGGTATATACCAGATATGCTATTTTACTACAAAATTGTTTATAGTCGTAAGTTTTCATAAAATTGGAAAAAATTTTTTTTGTTTCTTCACAGAAAAATTAACTAAAATCACTAAAAAGTTAGATGACACTTTCAATAGAATTAAATGGTATTATTAACCTTAATGAAAAAAGGTAAAAGAACATTCTTCATTTTTGTACGTAATGATGTACGTGTATATTTTGATGACAGTATTAGAGATTTATTGTATCAAAACATGTCAAAACTATATTATATAATGTATCGGATTTAATTGAACTATAAAAATAAAATATGTAAAACATTATCTAAATTGGACAGAAAATTCGATCAACATTTTTGCTCTTTTCTTATTCTAACCAGAGGTACAGAAACAGTGACGATAAAAAATTTTAATTTTTCTAAGAAATGTGAGCAGTTTTAGATTTTTACTCAAGGAAATGTTCCAAACACAAATTTTTCATTTAATTTAATTTTTATTAACAGCCTGATAGTGTATTTTTTATTCACTTTCAAATCAGAATTCTCAGTATTTTCTAAAGGATATTTCACATTTCCAATAAGATTCTCATTTTTTCAAATGGAGTTTTGCATTTTCAATTGCATTCTCAAATTATCGATTGAAAGTCTCACTTTCTCATATTATTGTTCTCACTCGAAAATTATTTTATATATAATTATATGATATTTACTCACTTTTTTCTCAGTTTCCGAGTAAAATAGTGAAATAGACGATCGAAAACCAATTTGTGCAATGACAATTTTACGTGATTACCACTAACTAATAATATGTAATTTTCTTTTCCCATACATAGTAAAACTCTTAAATACATAGAAGAGTTGTAATATTAGATTTACAATGCGTAATTGAGGATTTTCTAATAAAACCCTTTAATTTTAATTTTCTGCGGTTAAAATTAAATAAAAAAAAAAATACTAACTTTATTGGCAATAAAACAAATTCAAAGATTTAAAAATTTCTACTCGGAACTTTAAAAAAAAACATATTGCATAAATTTGCCCATATTTTCAACACCAAATTTATGAATCTAATCTAGTATTTCTGATAGTACTGAGTACAATAGTACGAGTACATTGCTGAAAACATAATAGAAAACAAAATATAAACATAAAAAGCTAAAAACCAAATAAAATAAATAAAGTATATTTATTATTATTCCATTTAGGTAATCCCTCAAAATCACAAACAGGATGACAATGTGGTAAACATGTTATGTCAGTAGTGGTTATAAAAAAAAAAATTGCAAGTTAAAAATATCAAACAAAAAAAAAACACAAAATGTCAAATCCTCTGGAACATTTAATTCAAATAAATTTTATTTAATGTAAACTGGAAGAAAAATGCTATGTATATGTATATATGCACATGAAAATGGAAAAATAAATTCGTAAATATTTATTTTAAAAAAGTAGAATAAAAAAGAATTTAAAAGGATATTTTTATTCCTTCATTTTTAATACAACAATATTTTAATCTCACACCTTTTTTATATTCACATTGTGATAATATTATTTATATTTGCAACAGAGTGTTTATGAAAAAGAAAATACTGTCGAGAAAGAACGCGTTTTGTGAAACATGATGCATGCATTATTATGGTTACGGACGTTGTTCACCTCGTCACTGAAAAAAATTTAAAAGAGAAAGAATTTTATACTAGAAGGCGCTTGAACTTGAACTCTACAGCGTTTACTCTCCAATTACATGTTTAATCTATAAAGAGTTCAGTGTTCCCACTTGGTAAAAACAAAATGTATCCAATTTCGAGGAAAAAATGTATCCAAAATGTATCCAACCTCATAAAGTAGAATTTTTATACCAAGCCGTCCAGTTGCTGGTTTTTTTATTTATAGTAAATTCTTTAAGGAATCACATACAACTTCTATTACATTTTAAATGTGAAAGTTAAGGTCAGAAAAAACATATGCATATATGCCTTCTGTAGTAGTTGAACTATGTGCTAAAGACAATTCACCATTAAAACGGAAAAATTTTAAAAAATATGTACAGCCAATGCATTTTCTGTTACAACTAGCTTACTCCAAAATATTTCCGGTACGTTCTTGTCTAAATGTTCTAGATTTTAATACAGGAAAAGGCACTACTCATTTAATAAAGCAGATTTTTTACTTTCTTCTAGTAAACTCGGAAATCTGCTTAGAAAGGCCAGCAAATAACACTTTTTAAAGATAAAGCAATTTCGCATTTTAATATTAGCAGCATTTTAACAGTTTTATAACATTTATTTAGTGTTTGAGAAATAAATGTATCCATGTTTCAGCAAAATTTTGAAATGTAGCCAATTTCGGCATTTTAGCAGATTTGAGTATCTTTGTATCCAAGCTAAATTTAAAGCAAAAAATGTATCCAAGTGGGAACGCTGAAAGAGTTGTATGAAGTTGTATTTCGAGAGAATTTTTCTGAATTATTCTGAATAATAAAATCTCAGAGTTTAAGAACTATGCATATAAAAGAATTAGTAAAAATTACTCGTATATGCAACGATTGTATTGCAAATATTTATGAGAACAACTATAATACTCTAAACTTCCAAAATATGCAATACTACACAACTATATTTGAATGATTCTTATATGAATTATTAATTTACGCGATATTTCAAGTTTGTTATTGTCACCAAAATTTAATTTTCTCATGTTGAAATTAAAATGATGTATTATTAATAAAACGGGAAAAGAAGAGAATGAATTTTTTTTTGACGTTCTGAGATTTTAATTTTTACGTAAAATTTTATTAATCATTCGAACAATTCGAATTAAAACTTTAGTAATGAACAAATGAAACATATTATGATACGGCAAATTGTCAGACAAAGCCATATGAATCTCTTTTATAAAAATATAAATACTATAGCAAACAATAGTAATATGATCAAATGATATATTTGATTCAGACCGGTGTAACATTTTTGGCACAACCTGTACTATACTCTTTTATGGATGTATTAAAAAATATTCTAATATTTAATATTAATTTTTATAATGATAATATGATGCTAATAAATAAGATTCACGAGTTTTTATTATAATCGCATTTCTCTGTTCTCTGTTCTCTTCTTTCCTTTTAACAATCGAAAACAAAAATTTCTTGACATGTGTTAAATTTTGTGAACTTCTATTTGAAATAATCGGATTGTTTATTTATTTATTTGTTTTGAATTTTTTGAAAATAATCAAATTGTGCAAAAAAAATATGCCCAAAGAAAAACTAATTTAAAAGTTGGCATCCAAATTTTTCAAAATATTAAATGAAAAAGACAACAGATAAAAACTGAATAAAAGCAAAATATGTTGTTACATTTTTAGTGCATATATACATACACATACATCGTCAAAGTAAAGAAAGCCTCAACAACACATTTTTTAATTTCTTCAGAATCTTAATAATAGTAATAAGTCAAATAAGATTAGAAAATGTTTAAGATTTATGAATCAAATTTATGTCGCGTAGATGAATTTCCAAAGAGAATTTGCTTTCCTAGGCACGGATTACATTTAAAGCGTAAAGTTTTAGAAACGTTATACGAAAGAAAATCCTTAGCTAATATTGATCCAGTATAGCCGACCTTTAACAATTATTATCAAATACTTGACTGCATTTACCAGATTTAGGAATAAAATAATAAAGCAAATACATTTTTTTAATACTGAAACCATATTACAACATTTATTATTTATTTTTATTTTAAATATTGGAACTTAAATCCCTCTACTACCGAACACAATTGAAATTTTTAAGAAAAATCATTTCTTTACAATACTTAAGCACATTTTTTCTTTGGTGTTACTACTACCATGGTTTTTGCAGTAAATTTCTATTTAACTTTGAATTAAATTTTTCTTGTTAAGGGATACGAAAATTTTATGAATTTTAAACAAAATCATTAACATATAATAAATAATGAGCTCACCTGGTTTATTTTGTTGATTTTCCGTTGACTCGATGCTAATTTCATCATCGTCATTACTGTTTAATAATTTTTTCCTATTGAATTTTAATATGCTCCTCGTTAATTTAGACCCCGTCGATTTTTGATATTCTTGATTTTTATTTTCTATAAAATCGTCATTACAATTATTATGTTCATCCTCATTATCTTCTTCACTACTGTCATCATCATCATTTGAGTCATTAAATTCTTCATCTTTATAATTATTATTAATGTACTGTGCATTATTTGATTCTAAAGTTGAATTGATCTCAGATTTCGTTGACAATACAGTATGTCTTTGTCTATGTATTTGAATCAGTTCTTCGTCTTCTTCTTCTTCTTTCTCTTCGTCTTCTTCTTCTTCTTGTTCTTCTTCTTCCTCTTCTTCAGAATCAGTTCGCTCTTGTTGTTGATTCTGGTTTTGTTCTTCTAATTCTCGTTGTTCCCCTAAATATTGTTGATGCTTGTGTTGATGTTGCTCTTGACGTTTTTTAAGATGTTCTTGATTTTGTTGATATTCTTGTTTTGACAATTGTTGTTGATCCTGATGAAAATCCTGTTCTTGTTCTGCTCTTATATCCCTTTGTTCTCCTTGTTTAAGGTGGTGTTGATTTTTAAACTTTTGCAATGATTTTTGTGGTCCATCTTGATGCTGTTGCTTTCTATACTGTAATTGTTTATGATGCAGTTGTTTTTGTTGCTGGTATTGTGAGTGTTGTTGACTCTGTTGATGTTGCTTTGAATGGTATTTACCAGTTGCATCGTACACAACATTGTCATCAAGAAAACGTTTATTGGGTTTTATAACACGACATGAATTATTGCTTCTTTTTGGCAAGACAAACCTTTTATCACCGTCAACAATTATATTTTCGAGCCTCGTTGATGGTTCTAATATTGGTGCTACCGTACTATTACTATTATCACTTTTATCCTTTTTGTTATCATTTATTGATACATTTAAATTATCATTTTTAAAATTATTACTATTAATTAATATATCACTTTTCTCATTAAAAGATTCTGATGAATTTGATATTGATGATTTTTCATTACTATTACCACTATTATTAATAATATTTGATGTTGATGTGAGTGATGATGATGAATCCGCTAATTTCGATGAAGCTGATTTAAATTTAAGTGAATTTAATTTATCAATATTATTTCCATTATTTTTTAAAATTTGTGTTAAACGTGATGGTCGGACAATGCAATCACTACGAACTGATCGAATTGAACGACTTAAACATTCACGTTTAATAATTGGAACTAAAGGCGCATTATCGGGATTATAAACTTTTTTAACGGCACATGTATCATCACTTGTTTCGAGAATATTTTTGAAAGTAACAGTTTTCTTTTTCACTGGTTTATCGGTTAGGAACGATGCAGATCCTGTTACGATTGCTGTTCTCGTGGTCGTTGTGGTAATTTTATCATTTTTATCCTTTCTACTTAATTCTAACGATTTTATTCCAATATTATTAATAATTCTATCATGGTTACCACCATTATTAATATTGTTACTATTATTATGAGATATACTATTATGATTGCTATTAAACATACTCTTATTATTTTCCATATTATCATTATTGTTGTTATTACAACCATCAGTACTCTTATATTTATTATTATTACTATAACTACTGCTATTATCATTATTACTATTATTATTGTTATTATGGCTAATAGTAGTATCATTATAACTACCAATCTTATTATTATTATTACTATTATTATCATTATTATTGTTATTATTATTATTATTACTATTGTTATTACTAGTTTCATTATTATTATAATTGTAAATAGTAGTATTAGTATTACTATTATCATTCACTTTACGTATAATATTGCAATCACTATTTTCATGGCAATAATCGGAAGAGTAATTACTGTTGCTATTATTTCTACAACTGTTACTACTAAAATTAATATCAAATACATTGTGCACACCACTACTAGTTTTATCTTTTTTAATCATGCTACGATTATTGAAATGATTATTACTGCCATTATAGTTATCGTTATTGCTATTTCTATTTTTATCTTCTTCACTACTTGATTTATTAGTTTTGAAATTGTTACCATCATTTGCATTATTTTCTATACCATTACCATTACTATCATTATGATCACTATTATTATTACTATTAATATTTTCAATATTACTGCTACTGCTACTTTTATAATTTGTGTTGTCATTTGTAATGATATTACCGACACTATTACATAGTTTAGCGTTGATTTCAATTTGATTACTATTAGTATGATTAGCATGGTTATTATGTTCATCATTATAATTGTTGTTATTATTAAAATTTCTGTTTTTTGACGATTCTTTATTACTAATTTTGTTGTCATTTTCTTCCATATCATCAGCATTTCCTTTATTGATAGTGCAATTATTACCATTGTAATTATTACGGTTATTATTTTTATTGTTATTGTTGTTGTTATTATTATTATTTTTATTAATATTAGTGTTATTATCATTTCTGTTGTTACAAATGGTAATATTAGCATTACTGCTGTCGCAGTTATTATCCCCATTGCCTCTACTGTAACTATTACTATTATTATTACAACTATTGTCATTGATTTTAGTATTATTAATAATATTATTGTTAGTATTATTATTGTTGCTATTACTATTATTATTATTACTTGTATTATTATTATTGTTATTATTATTATTACTATTTTTATTATTATTATTATTATTATTATTATTATTATTATTATTATTATTATTATTATTATTATTATTATTATTATTATTATTATTATTATTATTATTATTATTATTATTATTATTATTATTATTATTATTATTATTATTATTATTTTTACCACTATTTTTATTCCCATTATTATTCCTGTTTTTATTATTTTCATTATTATTAGTTTTATTATCGTTATTATTATTTTTGTTATCACAATTATTTGTTATACTTTTACGACTGATATTGCTACTATGTGCATCGTTATCATTTTCTTTACTTTTTTCATCCTTACATTCATTATTGTTTTCCTTAATGAACATTTTGCTATTTATTTCATTATTACTTTTTTTAATATTATTGTTACTATTATTAAAATCGTCATTATTATTATTTTTATTATTATTATTATTATTATTATTATTATTATTTTTATTATCATGATCATTATTTTTATTATTATTATTACTATTATTATTGTTATTACTATGGCTACTAATAGTTATTTTATTATTAATATTACTATTAAAATTTTTATTACTATTATTATTAGTATTAACATTTTTTTCATCTTTTTTATTACTTTTATCAATGTTATTATCATTATTAATTTGAGTTGGTATAGAGTTGTAATTTGAGTCGGTGTTATTTTGAGCATTGTTACTTTTACCGGTATTAATATTTTTTTTATTGGTATTAGTATCCTCGCTTATATTACTTATTTTACAACTTTTCCCTGCGGTAATTTTATTCAAATTATTATTATTGCTGCTAGTGTTAGTGATATTGACACTGCTACTAGTATTGCATTCTTTATTATTATTACTATCACAATTAATACCGTTATCATTTTTAGAGTCAGTGACATCATGATCATAATTATTATCATTATAGGTCATACCTTTGTTATCATTATCGTCGCGAGAATTACTATTGCTATTTTTGCTATCATTATTGATGTTACTTTTAATTTGATTACCGTCAATATTATTTTTATTATTATTGTTATTATTTTTACCATTATTGTTATTATTATTATTAATATTATTATTATTAGAATTATTATTATTATTATTATTAATATTATTATTACTATTATTATTATTATTATTATTGTTACTATTATTATTATTACTATTATTATCACAATTAACTTCATTATGTTGTTTTTTCTTTAAACTGTCGTTACCTTTTTTGTTATTTTTGCTATTTGTATTATTACTTTGGCTATTATTAATATTTTTATTATTATGTTTGCTTTTATTATAAATATTATTATCGTTATTATAACACTTATTATTTTTATTGTTATCATCGTCATTGAATTTGTCGGCTTTACTTTCATTTTTTGTCGAACTTTCTTTTACAGAAAAATTATTACTGCTCTGGTTGTTACAATTGTTATCGCTTTTACGGTGATTACTTTCAGTAGTTTTTTCATTGTTGTTACTACACATTTCAACAGTCTTTCTAATGTTTTTACTGTCATTATTTTTGCTACTGCTACTTTTGATATTTGTATCAACTACTGTCTTTAATTCTCCATTATGATTTCTTTTACTGTCACTATTATTACTTACATTAGTATCACCATCTTTATCGTTATCACTGTTGTTATTATCATCGACATCATTATAACAACTTCTATTTTTATTAGTACCATTTACACTGCTATTTTTTGTATTACTAATATTTTCATTAATACTGATATTACTACTAAAACATTTATTTTTAATTTTGTTTATATTTTGATTATTACTTTGTTTATTATTTATTAATTTATTTTTGCTATCATTACTATTAATATTGCTATCGTCTTGTTTATATTTACTATTTTCGGCATTATTGTATTCAGTATTAATGGTATCATTACATTTATTATTATTTTTGCTATGATTTATATTATTTTCTTCATTTTGAATTTTATTTTCAATTTTTTCTTCTTTATTACTGTTATTTTGCTCGTTATTTTTACTATTACTACTAGGATTGGTATCATCGAAGTCATTACTTGTATTAAAATGGCTACTACTGTCATTTTTTCTATTATTATTGATAATAATATTCTCTTTACTCTTATTTTTACTGTTACTCTTACTACTGTTACCGTTGTCAGATTTACTATTACTATCGTTATCATTTTTATCATTACAATTTGCAGTAATATTGATATTATTTATAGTGTTGGTAATACTGTTACTACTCCTATTATAATTATTATTATTATTTGTATTTTCATTATTATTTTCATTATCATTATTATTTTTGTTATTATTTTCATTTTCATTATTACTTATAACTTTATTATTCGGATTATTTTGATTATCAATGCTAATATCATTCCTATTATTCGTATTATTTTTTGTACTATTGTTATTATCATTATTATTGTTATTTTTATTTATACTAATTTTATTACTATTACTACTACTACTTCTACTACTACTGCTACTGCTATTACTACTGTTACTACTACTACTATTTTCAATATTATATTCCTTATTTGTTATATTCATATTACTTATTTCAATATTATTTTTATTATTATTATTATTTACTATACTATCATTTTTATTTTTATAATCAATAAAATTTGTATTACTATTTAATGATTCTATATTCCGAGATTTTCTTGTTGTGATGTTCGAATTTTTATTATTTACTCCATCATTTTCATTGTCACTGTTATCAGTGCTATTAGTACCGGTGCTTTCATTTGTTTCATTACCTCCACCACCATCTGGAGGCTCTGATGCCGGTAATTTACTTATTTTTTTCTGTAAATAAAAATTAAAATAAAATTTAATTAATAAAAATTAAAATGAAATCATTAATAATTTTGAATGTGCAAATGAACAATAAAAAAAAAATCAGTTTTTAAAGATTAACGTCCATACATTCTAAAGTGGGGGAATGTTTTAAATTCAAATGTAGTACATTTTTACAAATTCATATAGAGAAACATATTAAAATATCATTGTAGTTTTAATATGGTATATTAATTATGTTGTAAATATTATTTAATTAAAAAATTTGTATTTAATTACCTCAATTTTAGAACTTGAGTTCCTCATAAATATCGAAATAATTTATAGAATCAAGTAGTGGGATAAAATCGTTGATAAATAAGATATAAATTCCATATTATTTAGTAATTAAAATTAAACACGAATTAAAATATTCTCTGAAATTAAGTGAAAATTTGCAAATAAATCAGAAATAATTTTTATTGTTAAAAATTTTGATCTATAAACCAATTTTTAAATTAAGGTAAATGAAGAAACATTCAAAATACATAACTAAAATAATTCTTTGGAATTTTCTTCTTTCGCAGTTAAAATGTATGTGATCATTTTTAGATTCTGGATGTAAAAGTAATCTTTTACCAAAATCAAATATAAAATACTATTTTTATTAAAATAATCAAAAAAGAAATTAAAAATCTTCAATATAATTTTGCCGTTTTCGACCCGTATTGTAATCAGCCTTGTATCCAATTAAATAATAAGCATAATATTGGGGATTATCCAATAAAAATGAATTATATTAACTTATGTTTACATACATATGTATTTGAAAAATTTTAATTTATTTACGATTTTAAATTTTATTAAAAATTTGAGCACTATTTAAAATTTAAAAAATATATTTTCAGTCTTTTCTTTTCAAATATTTTTCAAAATAATTAAACAGTCCCTTGTATAGAAAGCACTTAAACTATTTGTATAAATTGATTGCTATTTTTCTGTTCAAATTCTAATAATAATTTCTTTAAAGTTTTAATTACTACTTAAATAATGAAATTTTCAAAAATATTTTTAAAAAACTGTTTTGAATTCAATGTAATCAGTTCCGTATTTTCTACCAATTTACGAACTTAAGAACCAACGAAATAAAAAAAAACTTTGCGTACTTTTGATATTCAATGATATCGGTTACACGTTCCGAACTTTTATAAAATCATATTACAACCAAATACAACTGATATCCAACAAAAATTAAATAAATAAAATAATAACAAATAAATAACAAAATATTCATGCTGTTCAAATTGATGATGATAAAATAATGAATGATGATGTTGATGATATTTTGGTATAAACATTTACAAAATTTCCACAATATTCTATAATGAAAATATTCAGAAACAAGAAACAAAGAAAATGAAAAAATCAACAAAATCACCCTCTCTTTTCTCTCACAGTACTTAACTTTTTCTTATAAAAAATCCCATAATATTTACTATACATAGAAAAAAAAAATCACACAGGACTACCGAAAAAAAAACCGAAAATAAAAAGGATAATATTCGTGAAAAAAAAATATGTATGTAAAAAATACAAAATTACAAAAAATTCCAAACAATAAAAATAAAATATAGAAAAAGAAAAAAAATACTCTAAAAAACATGAGTGAGTGTAACAAGTACGCATGGTCATGATTTTTATTTAAAAAAACAAAAAAAAAATATTCTAGAAAGAATGAAAGAAAGAAAGAAAGAAAGAAAGAATGCTAATCATGAATTTTCGATTAATTCTTGTTTGTTACTAAAAATTCAATTAAAAAAAAACCCGAATAAACGTACACATGCATACACGTGCTGCGTGTATGTATTTTGTATAAATATTATTATGTAAAACCGAAATGTCAACAATACAATTTAAAATTTAATTACGCTTTTATAATAATTTATTTGTTTTCTTTTTTTTAAATACAATTTATTTAAAATTTAATTTATAATCATTAAACAAAAGTGGCAATAGAAATAAAATAATTAATATTATTCTGAAATCCGAATAAAAAAAAAAAAAACAAAAACACTAATGTAGTTGACATTATTAATGTCATACGAGTATTTATAAAGTTGACATACAAGCAACCTACCTACCTACCTATTCTTGTTTACCCTACCATAGTTCTTATGAAAATTTAAAATACAGTTATAAAATTTTTAAAAAATCAATTAAGGATAAAAAAATTTATAATTACGAAAAAAAGCACATTTTTTTTTTTATTTCACCTATTCGAAAAAAAAGCACAAAAATTTATTTCACTTATTCGGATTACTTAACGTTTCGAAAGTTTTATATACCCTTATACTCGCTTTACATTTCATTATCACATCATCTCTTTCCTTTTATTAAATCTTTATGTAAAATTTCAAACAGTAAAATTAAATGAAGTGTAAAATTTCGAACAGTATAAATCTCAGCTGAATGATATTAATTTCTATTGAATTAATTTCAGCTGGATCATTATTGAAGATGATATATATCTAAATTTCAAATCTTTTATTTTTTTTTTATAAAAATTACATAGAATTTATGTACAGCTACATAAATCAGAGAAATTTTAATATTCATGTAATGTGTATGTAATATAGGAATTCATGACTTCCGAAAAAGACCGATAAAACGGAAAAAAAATCACCTGCTTTTCTGTAGTAATTTTGATTTTTTTTTTTATTTAAACGGTATAAATTTTAATTTATTCGCTAAATAGATTATCGGTATAAAATTTGCATTCGCTAAATAGGAAATTTTTAAAGAACGAATATTTCTTATTTGTGTTTAATGCTACAAACACATGAATCTCGATAGATGGCTCTAATATTATTAGTTCAAAAATAAATTCCAAATTATTTGATATTTAAATTTATAGGTCGATTTTTATTCCTGTAAAATAGCACTTCTTTATAGAAAAGCAAAGCGAACTACTCCTCGATTTCTACAACCCTTTTTTAATAAATATAAAGTAGAAACCTGTCATAATTATTAAAATGTATACAAAATGAAGAAAGACTGACTTGGAATTAATAAAATAATATTTTATTTTTAGAAATTATTTACTAAAATTTTACCACAATTAAAATATTCAATCATTTTCATTGGTTTGTTTGTTTACTTTCTTTTTTATTTTTTTTGGTTTATGCACCATGTGCTCATATTAAAGTTTTAATGTTCAAGTAAATTGTGCATTTTAACCACAAAAAATATTTTACACTAATTAGCTTTTTTTTTTCTTTTGCTTTATATTTTATTATTACTATATTGAAAGTTTTTTGATAAGTGTAAATGCAGATCCTTATTAACAATTGATTTGAATTATTTTAAATAATTTATTCGACACATTTTATAAATATACTTTTTTAACTAATTATAAGAATAGATTATTTAAAATAAGTTTAATTTGTAAAAAATTCGTAAAAATTTCAGTGTATTAACACTATTTTCGTAAATTTAAAATGTGTACAATTTTCATTTACGAATGGTGCATTCGTAATATTTCGTAATACATATAAAAGCTGGCTGTCAAGTGGAATTCAAATGAGAGTTCGTAAATGTAAAACGCGTGTAAAATTAAGTTGTCATTTAATATTGGCGCACTACCTGACTATTGAAATTTACAGCACCTCCGTCAATGCTTATTATTTGCAAACTTATTGTTAAATTTTGAGCATATTTTAAATTTATGAAAACGTGGTCAAGAATCAACAAGAATAAAACATATTTTTAATATGTAATAGAATTTTCCATTAAACCAGAATTTTTACATTTTATTTTAAATTTCAAGAAGATCTCATATAAAAATTCAATTCAAAGAAGATTTCATATAATTTCAAAGAAGATCTCATATAATTTCGGAGTACCACCTAACTTTCTTAACAAATTCACTGTTTATACCGAAACAATCCTATTGTAAGTTGTAATAATAATAAAATCAGACTGTCTGTAATTATCTTATACATGATATCGTAATATAGAAGATATTATTTTGTTAATTAAGTCTAAAAGAATTAAAAAAAGGTTTTTGTATTTAAATTCCAAAAATAATACATTTCAAATAATATACTTATAGAAAGTCTACATAATTAAGTCACTCAATTAGACATAGCACTTATTACATTAAATATAAAGAGCTTAAAAAAAAAAAACCACCATATCAATTTTTTACTAAAGTTTAGATCCAATTAAGGAGCCCAAGAATAAAATTTTTTAGAAGCAAAATAAATAAATACTCGTACGAGTATTATAGAATTTGCATAAATCTTATAAGCATAAATAACAAATATGTATAAGTATGAATATTTAATTATTTAAAGAATAAACTGTAATAAAACACCAATAGTTATTATATGTACATGAATTTGTATAACAGAATGGAAATAAATTTCATGTTAATTTATTTTAAAAATATTTTGATTTATTATTCGTAAACCATTAACATTCGATTAACAAATTATTATTTAATCTTTCTTTTCCCCAAATAAAACATGTAAATTATGTTGCTTTTGTATATTTTATCAAACAACATTATACATAAATATAAATATGTATATAAGTGAAGGTCTATATAGAACTGAATCCATTAAAATTTTTTTTTTCCTTTTATATATGTATATGTATGTGAAAGGATAATATATGATGTTTAACTTAAACAAAACAAATTTGCATATAGATTTTTGGTTAAATAAAAAGTAATTTATCACTTTGCTTACATACATTTATACATACATATATATATTTATTCTAATTTATTTTGTTCAACATCACATTTTGTTATTGTATTTTCAAAGTCTAATTCTTTGGAGCAAAATACATACATACATGATACATAATATAATCAACATCTTTTCAACTCATTTATATAACAATAACAATAAGAAAAAAAAAATTGTTGCAAAATATCAGATACGAGTGATGATAGTAAAATAATGAATTGTATACTATAAGGAATATTTTAAATGATTGTTTTTTACATTTACATATATTTTGAA